GCCCCTTCCCAAAATTACTTCAACGGAAGGTTTCTAGATGGATATGCGGAGCAAAAAAAAAGCCTTAAAAAGGTCGTGACCCCTGGTCTAAATCGGTCCGTATTATAAAAAGGTTGCTTGGTTTCCATGATGCTGTCTCCCCGTTTCTCCCCGATGTTCTGACAGGTTCTGGTTCCACCAGAACTTGGAGCTTCTGTAGATCCGTTAAATATCTGCTTCCGGTTTTATTTAAGCTTGATTTATGCTCGACGTGTCGGAGAGACCAGGGAAAATTTGTAACTATGAGGACGGAACCGCACAGAAAACATGGCAGCTCTTGTTGGCGAGGATTCGCAGGAGTAAACGTCTGAAGACATCCGGTGATTTAGTTCATAAATATCGTCACTTTCACCGCCGACTGTGGAAGAAACATCCTGGAAATAAATGTCTGAGGCTCTCGAACCGCTTGAAGAGGCTTTGATTAAGATGGAAACTATTTTCTCCTTCCTCCTGTAGGGAGGTGTTATCACTGCAGCTGACGCTGTGATTGGTCCATCCTTTCACAAGCAGAATGAGCCCTTTGGTCTCCATGGCTACCATCTGATAAACAAATACCATCAATCATCTGACCTAACCGCTGTGTTCATGGTCGCCAGTTAGTTTGTTATAAAACTCAAAAAGGTTCCTGGAACCTGATAAATCGCTCTGAGGATCCTGAGGACTCGTCTTTTTCAGCTCAGATCTGTCAGGTTCAGTTCTAGATCCTAGAAAAGTCATTCCAGAACTTTTCTTGTTTTTCTCAGAGGTTCTGAAAACCTAAAACCTTCTTCAGCCAGCGGAAGGTTTTGGGTCAGAACTGACCCAGATTAAGAACCTCAGCATTATGCAGCCTCTCCTGTGTTTCATTCTGGGTCACCTTAGTTTGATGTCCTACAGGTCTGTGGCCCAAATGATCCAGTTTGGTTCTGTTGGACCTTGACCAGAATATCGGTGCAGTTGGTGGAACAGAACCATCCGTTCTGATGCATCTTTGGGCTCATCTTGGTTCTTTATTTCCAAACATGTAGATTTACGGTTCCGCTGTGGTTCTGAGGGTCCACATTCATGGAACCGGGTTCTTCTAGCTGCCTCTCCAGGTATTTGGGTCAGAACCGCTGTGAATGTCTGTCTGCAGGTGAAGCTGAGTAAGAACTATGAGAAAGCTCTGGAGCAGATCGACCAGAACCTCATCTACTGGCCTCGCTTCATCCGACACAAATGCAAGCAGAGGTTCACCAAAATCACCCAGTACCTGATCCGAATGCGCAAACTGGTCCTGAAGAGACAGTGAGTTCTGCAGAACTGCATCAGAACCACCGGCAGAACCAGGAGGTTCCTCATGTCTGCCGTTTCTTCTCTTCCAGGAGGAAGCTGGTTCCTCTGAGCAGGAAGGTGGAGAGCAGAGAGAAGAGGAAGGAGGTAAGATGGAGGCAATCAGAACCCCGAAGACCCGAACCCATCAGAACCGCTTTTTCACCGTCTCCTTCTTTCTGTTTGCAGGAGAAAGCTCTGATCGCCGCGCAGCTGGACAACGCCATCGAGAAGGAGCTGCTGGAGAGGCTGAAGCAGGGAACGGTACGCCGAGCAGAACCGGGCCCATGACTGCGGTTCTGATCCGACCCGCCGGACTCACCCGCCCTGTTTCTGTTTCAGTACGGAGACATCTACAACTTCCCGGTGTACGCCTTCGACAGAGCGCTGGAGCAGCAGGAGGCCGAGAGCGAGTCGGACTCTGAGGAAGAGGAGGAGGAGGAAGAGGACGATGAGGTGAGGAAGAGGAGTCTTCATCAGGGCGGGTCAGGGCGGCGCTTTATTCTGAAAGAACTTCCTGTCTGTGCAGGACGTCGGGCAGAGGGAGTTTGTGGCAGAAGATGAGGTGGAGGAGAGCGACCTGAGCGACTTCGAGGTGAGTCCTGGAAGGTTCTGGAAGGTTCTGGAAGGTCCAGGTTGGTCTGGAGGACGCTGCTCACCACTTTGTTCTTCAGGATATGAACAAGCTGAAGACGAGCAGCGATGAAGAGGAGGAGGAGGGGTCGAGTGAGGAAGAGGAGGAGATGGAGGTCCAGGCGAAGGCCTCCAGGTCTAAAGGCAAATCTCCGGCCAACGGGTCGGCGGTGCGGAAGAAGCGGGCCTACGTGGAGATCGAGTACGAACAGGAGACAGAACCCGCCTCCAAGAGCAGAACCACGTAGAGACGCCCGAGGCGGCGCGCCAGGACTGCTTAACACCCCCCACCCCCTTCCGTTGCCATGGCAACGCTCTGACTAAGGTTGCTGCTGTCCGAGTTCTCTGAACCAGAGCGGAGCCCAGTTTAACCACCAGCCCTGGATCGGACCGACCCAGAGGGACTCTAACCGAGCTCCGTTCATCAGAACCCAAACCAGAACCTTTTATTTACTCCAGAAACAGTTCTGATTAAAATCTGCAAAGATTCAATAAACTTTAAAATCGGTTAAACGTTAATAAACCATTTGGGTCCAGAACCGTGTTCGTCCTCCTGGCTTCATGGAGGATTAAATAAAATACATTTTTATAAAATACACAA